CGAGTTCCTGCTTCACGCTTGAGCGCCTGTGCGCTTGGAGCGGAGAGGCCAAACCATGTCAAGATCACGTTTAGCCGCGATCGGCGGCGGCTCTTGAGGAGGAGGAAAGAGGAAGAGGAGGAGGACGCCTCATGAGGGCCTCAGGGGAAACTAAGCCGGGTAACCGAACTTACGCCGCGGCTTACGAGGGCCGCCGCCGCGGCATGTTGCATTGGAAACGAGGGCGCTCGCGCGCCATCTTGCGCCGGCGGCTTGCGCGCGAAGGTCGGCGCCATCGGCCCCGCTCTCTTCCATTACCCTCGACGGTCTTGCGCAAACGGCTGCCGCATCCCCACAAATCTCCGAGGCTTCCGCGCGACCCGCCTCGAGAGGCAGGCGCTGGGACTGCCGAAAGGGGTACGGAAAGCATGGGCACCGTGCCCAGCAACCGTCCCTGCTCATCTTGAACAGGGCTCGCTGTCCGCGCCGCCGCGGCCTGTGTCCGTTTGCGGCAGGAGGCCGTCTGCCCAACAGCGGCCTCTGCTGGTTTGGGACGACATGTGTTGTTCGGCAGCGTACAGTCGGGGCAGTGACCTGAGGAACGATAAATAAGGAACGAGGCCCCTTGTTTCCCATACGTTAATCTCCGATTTTCCATGGAAAAACTCAGGAAAACCCAAGGAGCACCGCAAAGCAACTAAGGAACACGGAACCCCTCCCCAACAAAAAGGGTTCCTTCTTCAGGGCCCCGACTGTACCCATTTTTATCCGTACTCGTTTCGGGCGTCCACAGGGCGGGCGCCGGCGGCTCCTGCGCCTCCCGCTGCGCCGACATCTGCGCTTGCAGCTCGGGGTTGTGGTAGGTGAAGCGCAGCCTGCGCTCGCGGGCGCCGGGCGCCCGCCGCCTCCCTCCCTCCGCCGCCCCCCCCCCCCCCCCCCAAACCCCCACCCCCCCCCCCCCCCCCCCCCCCCCCACCCCCCCCCCCCCCCCCCCCCCCCCCCCCCCCCCCCCCCCCCCCACCGCCCTCCCCCCCCCCCCCCCCCCCCCCCCCCCCCCCCCCCCCCCAACCCACCCCCCCCCCCCCCCCCACCCCCCCCCCTCCCCACCCCCCCCCACCGGCGCCCCCACCCCCCCCACCGGCCCCCCCCCACCCACCCCCCCCCCCCCCCCCCCACCGGCCGCCGCCCGCCGGGGCCTCGTTGCGGGGCGGGGGGCAGGAAGACAAATACGGAGCGCTTGATCGCCGCGCCGGGCCCGTGGACGAAAGTTCCTTCTCCTTCTCCTCCTCCTCCTCCTCTTCCTGTTCCTCCCTCAGCCTCCTCCCCCCTCCTTCCTCTCCTCTCCTCTTCCTGTTCCGCCCTCCTCCTCCTCCCCCTCCTCCTCTTTCGCCCTCTCTCCTCCTCTCTGCTCTCTCCTTCCTCCTCCTCTCTCTCCTCCTCCTCTTCGTTCCCTCTCCTCTCATCTCATCGGCGCTGGGGCGCCCGAACCCGGAAACGCACCATGGCTTCAGGCCCGCTTGCTTCATTCTCATTTTTTCATCTCATCTCATCTGTTCCTCCTCCTCCGGCTCCCTCCTCATCCTCCTCTCCCCTCCTCCGCCTCCTCCTCCTCCTCCTCCTCCTCCTCCTCCCCCCCTTCCTCCTCGTGACGATTCGCGCCTTGGCTCCTGACAACTGGACCAACCGGCTGCGTTCCACTCGCCAGGCCCGTCCACCGGTGGCCGGCTCTCGGCCACGGGCGGCGCTCAACCTTGAACGCCCATGGCGGGGTCGACGCGACGCGAACCTGCCGTGTGGGGCGCGTCTTCGCGGAGGCCGCGCCGCCGCGTGACTCTCCACGGGGCCTCGCCCCGAAACCAAGACTGGAGACACCCAAAGAGCCGATGATGCTGCCGCTCCCCGCACCTCTCGGGTGCGCTCTGACCAGGGCGTCGGGGCGAATCCAGCGGTGGCGACGAGGGCCTCCCAGGAGGCCCGACAAGGGGAAAACGAAGGAAGGGTCCTCCGAAAGAACCCAGCGGTGGCGACGAGAGCCTCACGGGAGGCCCGACAAGGGGAAAACGAAGGAGGGGTCCTCCGAAAGAACCCAGCGGTGGCGACGAGGGCCTCCCAGGAGGCCCCCCAAAAAGCAAAACAACGAATGAGGGAGGGGTCCTCCGAGAGAACCCAGCGGTGGTGACGAGGGCCTCCCAGGAGGCCCAAGACATGCAAAACACAGGAGGGGTCCTCCGAATGACCGCCGCTCGTGGCCTGGGCCGCCCGCGCAGCCCAGCCCACACGCGCGCCCGACTCGGGGCCAGGGCCCGCCCGACCGACCCGGGCTGCCCCGCTGGACCACCCAACCTGCAGGGCCAGGCTCGTCGAGGCATCGGAGAGCCTGCCCCCCTCTGTGGCTCCACAGCGCGCTGGGTGACGCCACTTGCGCCTCCAGGGCTCCAGTCTTCGGAAGATCGGGACTTCCCAAGGGGTGAAGCCAAGCCGAAAACACAGAAAGCAAACGCTGCCTCTCAAGAGAAACCCCCTTCTCCCTTTCTCAAAGCAGGATTCACGACATGGGATACAACCAATGGGACCCGATCCGAAATCTGCATCGCACGAAGGGCCTCGGCGAACACCGCCTGGATGGCCGTCGGTAAAGCCTTTGCCTCGGCGTCGTCCACCCGTCAAGACCTCCAGCCTTGTGAGAGGAGCGCGCCTGGAGCAAAGCGCAAATCTCAGCAACATTCAGTTGGGGCTCAGGACATGGTGATGATGGGGGAAGCTCGGCCTCATACTCCGCCTTGAAGTCGCCTCAAGTCGAAGGTTCCGATTTTCCACGGCACATGCATGATATCAATTTCCACGTTGTCTGCATCAACTTTATGATGTCGATCGGGTTCGACATGATAGCACGTGTATCGTGCGATTTGAAGGAAGGCGGTCGGGGTTAGGCTTAAGCTTTGACCCAGGCGCACACCTCTCGCCCTCCTCGTTGACATGATTCAGAAATACAAGCACGCCACTACTGAAGCCGTTGACACATCCGCGTAGAGGTTCTCATTCGACACGCCAGCGACACGGTAGATTGTGGCGAGGTAGTACGCCGTGACACGCTCGGCCCTGGCCGTTCGGCACGGGGGCGCCGGGCAGCCAAAAGCCGCTCATGCATGGGGTGCTTGGCGCCGGCAGGTGCAAGTGGGAAGGCGGCGGGGGCGACGATGGCAGCGCCGCCGCGCCCTGCCTGGGCCCCTCCCCCGGCGACGCACTGGCGCTTGCCCTTCTCGGCGGGGATTTGCTGGGCAACTGGGTCTGGAGGTGGGCCCGCGCGAGCCTTCCACTGGTGCCGATGTCGCTGGCTGTTGAAGTCTAGCATCTGGCTCTTGGCGCGTCGCACCTCCTGCAGGGCCGCCACTGCCACTCCGCGATCGCCGAGCGCCGTGAGTAGCCCCCAGCGCGCCCGCAGTGACGACGCACTAAGAGAAAGAAGCCTATGCTGCTCAGGTCCATCTCCAAGGGTTGTGTCAAAGTGCGCCCGCGCGCGGCGCCCCATGCATGGGCCCGCATTGAGACTGCTGAGGACTCAGAACCCGGCAGCGCGCCCCGACCACAATCGCGGCGACTGCGCCCCCCTGGCGCTCGAGAAGCACGCCGGAGGGCACGATCCTGACCCCGGCAAAACATGGCCGTCGGCGCATTGGGCGGCATGATACAGCGGCGACTGAGCCGAGGTGGCGCTCGAGGAGCACGCCGCCGTCGGCGATCCTGACCCCGGCATGACGCGTCCGTCATCGCGGGTGCGGGTTAGGAAACGCAGCGACAGAGCCGAGGCGACGCTCGAGGAGCACGTCACCATCGACGGCCCTGACTGCAACATACCGCGGCTCAAGTAGAAGTTGCGCCGGCAGGCCACGCCGTCGCAGTTGCCGCCGCCGTTGCAAGCTGGCAACTTCGAGGACGTGGTAGCGGCGCAGAGGCCTGGAGGTGCACGGCCGCCCCACGCGCCGCAATCCCCACGCCTGCGCCTGCTGTTCGCTTCCAAGCAGATGATCGCCAGCAGCGCGATCGCGCCCCCGATCTTCAGATCGAACTTGCCGACAAAAGGTGAGACAAGCCTTCCTTGGACACCCTCAGCTCTGGCGCGGGCCTGGGCCGCAGGAGCCCCCCGGAGCCCCCCCCCCGCAGGTCCGTCTTCTTTAGGGCCTGGGCGAGGCCGGCCTGCAGCGCGGTCTGGTAAATGGCAATAGTCTCGTTGATGTTTGCGTTCCGCTGCCTGAGCTCGGAGATGGCCGTCTGCGCCTGCGCGGCGGCGGCGCGGAGTTCTTCGCCAAGCTCGGGGGGGGGGGGCGGCGGCCCACTTGGCAATGGCGGCCCTCGTCTCCTCCATCGCGGCGGACCGCTGTCGCGCACTCGCTTCTAATTCGCCCAATCGATTATGCTCAGCGTCTGGTCGTCGAACTGGGGCCGGCACAAAGGGTTTCGCGCTTCCGGTCGACTTCCAGCGGGCTGCCTTCGCCCTTCGACGCCGGCAGCGCCCCCGGCGATTTGCCCCGCAGGGCTGCCGGCCAAGATGGCGCGGCAGTTGCTGTGGACAGCGGTGCCGAGCCCGTGGGGGCCGGCGATGGCGGCTTGGATTGGAGCGTCGCAGCTAGCACCACTGTAGGTCCCACCGCTGGCTCGACGCCCTTGGCCGCCGCCGCGACGACGGAGAGCCTCCGCGACGACCCAGGGCTTTGCGGCGACGAACTGCCAGAACTTATTCGACGGTTCCCTGTCGGAGCGCGCGATGGCGAAATTGATTTTCTCGCGGGGGCCGTAGCCGACGTGGACTATGTCGGCAGTCCAACCAACCGACTAGACAGCGTTTGAGACCTGACCCATGGTGGCGCGGCTTTTCAGGGCGCTGTCGATGCGCCACATGCGCCTGGCGAGCACAATAGCAGAGACACGCACCGCCGTGGCAGCGCCGGTGGCCTTCTCATGTTCGCGCAACACTTCTAGCCCGAACTGCGTACTGTCACACCCTTCGCGATGCAAAGGGCGGCCTCGTGTGACACGGATATGGAGCAAGCGTCCTGCATGGAAATAATCTTGTTGAGCCATGCTGTTTGGCCCTGCTGCTTATCTTGCTCTTGCTTGTCAGACTCAGCGCCGATGTAGGAGAACGTGAAGGTGACCCTCTGGTAGCCTGAATACGTGAGAAGGATATGTTCCTGGCTCTTCCTGGTGGCGAAGATGGCTCCTAGCGTACGCTGGTCGGACTGGCCTCCTGCGCGCAGTGGCCTACTGTGTCCGTCCGGCAGCTCGACCTCAGGGTAGATAGCATTCATCGCGGACTTGATCCCATCATGCAGGCCCGCGCCGAGCGACAGCTTGGCATCGGACCGTCGGGCCTGTTTCCACCGTTCGTTCGCCGTGCTGCCTGACTTGTCCTGCTGCTTCTGGCACCCGATCACGATGGGCGCGGCGCCACTGAACTGACTGTGAAGACATCCTTGATCGATGGGTGACCAGCAGAGCATCGGCCTCGTACGCCGTAATGTTCATGCACGAGGTCTTGCCGTCAGCGGCGTCAAGCTGGGCTATGTTGGTCTTCGTGTTGACCTCTGTGTGTCCGAACTGGTAGAAGACTCCTTCCATGAACGGCTTCCTCGGGACATGAGCTCCGTCAGTGACCAACACGACAGGAATGTGGATCTTCGCGTGGGCTCACTGCTCGCTGCCTTTGCCAATGGCGATGATAGCCAACGGTTCCTTCTGGTGACGGAGGGCGGAGCACCACTTCTCAGCACCCACCATGGAGTGCAACGAGACCGAGGCATCGTATTCTGCGTTGGGGAATTTCTTCGGAGCTTGTGCGACCGGGGCGGTCCGGTCGTGTTCGTCGAAAGCACCTGGAATGTCCCCCTGCCTTTGGTTATTGCCGTTCCACTCGTGGTCCCGTTGGTCACAGCATTGGCACTCGTAACGCGCCGATGGGGATCACAAGACCAAGATATACCATGCTTTGTCAAGAGCCTCTGCACTGCCCTGAACTGTTTGTCATCTGGGGTCATCGTCAACAATAGGTCCAATCCTGCTTGGTCGTTGTGGATCAACTCATTGTACGCTGCGGTGGCTCGATCGCCCCCAGCGTCTTGAATCAATGTCGCAGACTTCGTCTTGCGAGCAGCTGGCCCGCTGATCTTCGTCAGCCGTCCCTTTCCCATCACAGCTATGTCGGATGAGAGAAACTCTTCCAGACTAACGCACAACCGATCTTCAGTAGTGCGATCACTGACGGTACCGCCACGAGCACGTTAGACAGATTCTAAAGGCAGATTGGATGGGCTGCGCGCGCTCGCTCCCAAGCAAGCTCGAGCCCATCTGGTACTGGTGGTGATGATGATGACGACGATGATGGTGCTGGTGATGGTGATGGTGATGGCGATGACAGCGATGATGATGATGATGATGATGATGATGATGATGATGATGATGATGATGATGATGATGATGGCGATGGTGAAGATGATGACAATGAGGCTGATGGTGATGATGATGATGATGATGGTGGTGATGGTGATGGTGACGATGGCGATGGTGATGATGATAATGATGATGATGATGATGATGATGATGACGACAATGATGACAATGTTGATGATGATGATGATGCTAATGCTAATGATGATGATGATGATGATGATGATGATGATGATGATGATGATGATGATGATACTGATGATACTGATGATGATGGTGGTGATGATGACGGTGGTGATGATGATGGCGATTGATCGTGACGCGCCTTACAAGACGGGTTTCCTGGATATCTTGCCCCCGCAAGACTTAACCATGGATTCCTCCACCTATGCCTCTGTATGCCCATAAAACTCCCGTTACGTGTGCCATCTGCCGTACTGCGTGCTGGCCCCGCGTGCCATGAAGATGCAGAGGAGGAAGTAGGAGGAGGAGGAGGAGGAGGAGGAGGAAGAGGAGGCAACTCCTGGGAGGTCTTCCCGAGAACGATTGAAGGATATGAATCCCAAAGTGAAGGGCCACTGAGCCCGTTTGGACAGGATCCGGCCTGGGATTAGGCCGAGCTTAACGGGATTAAGCCAGAGTGCAACAGGATTATGCTGCACCAGGCTGGTTGTCGACTACGGTTATACCAGCGCCGATGCTGAAATAAACCTCCCGGGAGTTGCATTCCGAGGAAGGGGAGGAGAGACTGACGAGGAGGAGGGTTCTCTTTCAGATAAGGACTGGGAGGAGGAGGAGGAGGAGGAAGAGGGATCTGAGGAATCGGATGAGTCCAGCCGTACATGGGCTGCTGGGCTGCTGGCACACAGGCCAAGGCACCCCCTCTACGGGAGCAGGAGGAGGAGGAGGAGTGACAAGGAGAGGGAGGAAGAGGGAGGAAGAGCGAGGAAGAGGAAGGAAGAGGGAGAAAGAGGGAGAAAGAGGGAGAGTGACGAGGAGGACGATTGTCTTTCAGCTAAGGACTGGGAGAAGGAGGAGGAAGAGGAGGAGGAGTGACAAGGAGAGGGAGGAAGAGGGAGGAAGAAGGAGGAGGAAGGAGGACGGGGACGAGGAGCGAGGAGGGGGGGAGGCACAAGCGGCGAGCGGAGCGGGCGCTCGGAGGCCGCCACGGTGGCAGAGCTACGACGACATAATGCTGCTCCATCCGGGCGCTTGCCCTCGATTTCGGCCCCTCGGGCCTGTGACTGGGCCTGGCCATCCTCCTGCCCCACTTCCTCCCCGCTCCTCTCTGCTCTCCAATCTCCTCCTCCTCCTCCTCCTCCTCCTCCTCCTCCTCCTCCTCCTCCTCGACCTCCGACGATCTCATGGCTTGTTCAACGTTCTCCCTCGATTTCGGCCCCTCGGGACCACTACCGGGCCCTGCCATCCTCCTGCCCCTACTCCTCCTCTCTCCTCGCTCCCTTCCTCTTCGATATCCGACGATCTTATGATTTGTTCAGCCCGGGCGCTTTTCCTGGATTTCGGCCCCTCGGGGGCGCTGCTCACTCGTCATCCTCGTCGGCCTTCTCGACGCTGGCGGTCAAGAGGTTTTTCGCTTCGTCCTCCTCTGGCCGGAGCATCTCGACGCCCGCGTCATCCCCACCAGAGTGCATTTCCATGAGCTTGGTGATGTCAAACTTGGGCTTCTTGAGGATCTTAACCTTCTTAATGTGGACGTCCTTCAGGGGAAAGATGCCCTGTGTCTCCTTCTCTATCTGCTTGCCGATGGACTCGGGGATGAGCTTCTTCACCAGATCCCGGAGCTGCACCTTGTTGACCTCGCCGGTCATGATGTCCGTCATCTTCTTGCGAATCTTGCGGATCTGGGCCGTCTGCGCGTAGCAGTTGTTCTTCTCCTGCCCAGGCTGCTTCTTGGTGAAGGCGAGGCAGAAGAGGCGCACGAGGTACCTGATTCTCAACCGACAGACCTTAACCCTCTGGAAGGGGACCCAACTCTGAAGGTCCAGAACAATAGGGGCAGGGGGTCTTTTTTGCGGACGCATCAAACCAAGCCACCCAGATGTTCGATCCCAAATGCCAAGACGGGGACCTGAATTACGCGATATCTTCATTGTGTTAGTAGGGCTATGGGCTCTACTATTCCTCATAGGGACCCGTCCGTGGTCTTCACGTCCACGTGGGCCTCGATCAGCGTGTGCCACTTGCGGATCAGGGACTGCTGCTTGTCGCGGGTCAGCTCCAGCGCGTGGAAGTCCGTGAGACAGTTGCGGCCCTGCACCTCCTCGATACAGAGCTTCACCTTGAGAGGAAGAGAGGTCCGCGTGGATTTCTTGGATCGGCGGAGGAGGGGGGAGGAGGAGGAGGAGGAGGAGGAGGAGGAGGAGGAGGCAGGAGGAGGAGGAGGAGGAGGAGGGGAGGAGGAAGGAGGAGGAGGCAGAGAAGGCGATGGGGGGGAGGCCCCTCCTCCTCCCTCGCCCCCCCCCCTCCCTTCCCCTCTCCCCTCCACTCCTACTCCTCCTCCCTCCTCCTCTCCACCTACCACCCCCATCCCTCCCCTCATCACCTCCCTCCACCTCAATTCCCTCCCTCCCTCCCTCCCTCCCATCCCTCCCTCCTCTTCCTCCTCTTCATCCTCCTTCCTCCTTCCTCCTCCTTCACTACCCTCCTCCTTCCATAAACGTGAACTGGGAGGCCGCGTGGATTTCTTGGATCGGCGCGGGACCGCCCTCCCTGGGGCGTGGGTGCGCGCGAGGGGCGGCGCCGAAGCGCCGCCAGGGGGGGGGTCCAGCGCCGAGCCGAGAAAGCCGCGCGGAGCTCCGAAGGCTTGTGCTCATGCCGCTTGTTTAAGGGAACCACAAATGGCATAAACATAAAAACATAAACATAAAAGTGACATAAACATAACAACATAAACATAAACATACATGGAACCAACAAAAAGTGACACAAACATAAACACTCGGAGGTCCGCGCGGATTTCTCGGATCGGCGCTGGGGCCCCCCGGCGGCGCCTCCGGCGCCGCCCCTGGCGCGCCCCGCGCGCCAGAGAGGGGGTCCAGCGCCGATCCGAGGAATTCGCGCGGACCTCCGAGTTTTTATGTTTATGTCATTTTTGGTTCCCCTACTTTTCTTCCTCGAGCCTTCTTGTAGGCCTGGTCCTCGTCGTTGTTCAGGTCTGCCAGGTTGAGCTCCAGCACGCGCCCCTTCAGCTCCTCGGTGGCAATCTTGGTGCCCTGCGTGCGCGTGACCAGGGTCTTGCCGCAGTTGCGGACGGTGAAGACGCTGGGAGCCTCTGAGGCGGAACAGGGGGGGCCGGTGGGGGGACCAGCTCAGGACGGGGGCGCGCAAATTTGGATTGACGATCCATGGATTCGGCGCGCGGTCGCCAAATCCATGGATCGGGGGAGGTGCCCTCCCCAAAATGCGGCCGGTGCCGCCTCGCTCGGCGGCGGAAATCCGGGATTCCCCATGGAAACGGGACCCGTCGCTAAACCACGCGCCCTTGATCCATGTTTGCGATCGCCTCATCAGGGAGCGAAAAATCAGCCTGCAACCAGCGGCTCACACCGCCACTGGCGACAGGCCCCCGACGGCCAGAAGGCGTGGCGTGGGCGGGGCTATGGGCTCGGCCATGCCGACCAGCCATGACTGGGGGAGCTGTGGTCCTTACCCCCCCGGAGGAACCCATCGCATCGACGATCTCTCGAGAGGGGTGTCGAATTCGATGGGCCCCCCAGGGGGGTATGGACCACAGCTCCCCCAGTTGTGGCTGGCCTGCCATGGGTTCTCTATCGGCGATGAGTGTACGATTGGGGGTCGATGCGGTCCCCCCCCAAAAAAAACGCTGCCCCCGAGGTCAGGGCCCCGTAAACCCGGACACGCTACAGGGCAACTTTTAATACATAGCTGTTGGGAAACTATGGGATTTAATACATGACTAATTCATGAATTCGCCGGCCCAACGGGCCAGGGCGTGCTAAGATCTCCGGTAACTGGTTAACAGTATTAACAGTATTTCTAGTTCGCGCGCGCGGGGCGGCCCCTGGGGGTCCCCCGGCGAAAAGTACCCCGACCAACGCCCGGTCGCCGCCCGGTCGCCGCCCGACCGCCGCCCGACCAAGTCTACTCAGAGATGGGTTTCCTTCTGGGTGCGGCCTCTCAGGCTCCCCAGAGCGCGCTCAGAGTGCCCCAAGAGGCCCCCAAGACTGCCCAAGAGGCCCCCGAGACGCCAAAAGAGCGCACGAAGACGCCGAAGATGACCCCAAGACGGCCCAAAAGGCCCCCAAGACAGCCCAAGAGGCCTCCAAGACGCCCCCAAGAGCCTTCCAAGAGGCCTCCCAAGACGGCCCAAGAGGCCAACAAAATCGTTTGATGTAAAGTGTTTGCGATGTTTTTTGTGTTCTGGCTTTTTCGGCTTTTACCGGACGCTCCAAGACGGCCCTAAGAGGACCCCAAAACAAGACCGCTCCAAGACGGCCCACGACGAAGCTCCCACGAGCGGGCGCCGAAACGCGAAAAGACCCAAAGAGAGCACTCTTCATTCAGGACCAAGTGCCGCCACAAGACCGGGACCAAGAGGCCCCAAGACGGGCCAAAGAGGGGACTCAGGAGGGGATACCGAGAGACTCAAAAATAAAAAATGGAGCCTCCGTCCCAGAAGGCGCACAGGGGTTCCCAAAGAGCCCCAAGAGGCCTCCAGAGGCCCCCAAGATGTCGCCAAGAGGCCCACAGGAGACCCCAGGAGGCCCAAAGAAGCCCCAGTAGCTTCAACACATGCTCCAGGAGCCCCCCGCTCGAAACGGCCTTCAAAGACCTTTGCATCATTATCGCCCAAAGAAGCATCTTGACGACGACTCTATTTCGCCCCATCGAGAGACGACCCCCAGGGAACTGCTTCACCATCAAAACTCCCCAAGCAACGCGTCCGAACGACACCCGCCCCCAAGAGCGCAACATGGGCAACGAACACACAGACAAAAACCAGCGATGCCATATCACGGGCCGGCGGAATGAGCGAAGCGATTCAATAAATTTATGCATGAAGTCATCGTTGTTTTTAGTACTAAATCCCTGCATTCTTAATACATGATCCGCACGCGGAGCATGTATTAAAAACGGCACTGTAGACCCCGATGCTTCCAGACGCCGGCACGAACGGAATGCTGCACCGCAGCATCTCCACAAGAAGCCCGCACACGGGCCCCCAAAAAAGCCTGCAAGACCCGCCCAGACCCGGACACGAACCCGGATCCTTAGACGAGCGCGCTCCGCTACTCGCCAAGGGACTCCTCGCAGATGGCCTGGATGCACCGCTGGGGATCTACGCGAGATCACGTCGAGGAAGACAGGAGGCGCGTCGGACGTGTGCGAGTGTGCACTCTGCGAATCGCGGGACGCGCTCGTTGGATCCTGCAGCGCAGCAAACAAAAAATGCACGGGTGCCGGAAAATGTGCCCCTGCAAGAAAGAGGGTGTTGTTTCCTTGGTTTTCCGCGTCCTGGTAGGGAACCGAACTCTATCCGACGCCTCTGTCTGGCCTCACGCTGAAATCCGCACGGGAACGCGGAATTTGGTGTATACGGGATCCTGGTGTATACATTCTTTGTTGGTTCCCCCAGAAAACGGGGAACTAAACACCACACCACCCCGACGCCGTCCCTGACCCTCAAAAAAGTCCTGGGATTGAAAAACCGCCCGCCACTGGTAATGCACTCCAGATTTCGCAATAAAGGGAGGGGGGTCTCATCTCGGGGGGGGTCTCTTCCAGGCTATCTTGGAGGGCCTCGGGGGTCTGGGGACGATGTTTCGGAGGGTTCTCCCACGGGGGAGGTCTGAAATGGCTTGTCTTGGAGGGTCCAGACCCCCTCCCTTTTATTACGAAATCTGCAGCATATGCTCCAGTTGCCGACCTGGCTCCTCTGTGCCCTGGTCTCCGGGGGCCTGAGGAGCCCGGCGGCCCCCGGACGCCCCCGGGATGCCTCCGAAGACCCGCGGAGGCCCGGGGGGCGGAGCGAGAGCCTCCGAGGCCCTTCGATCCTCGAGCCCCGGGCCTCGGTCCTCGAACCGCGACCCTTCGAACCCTGATCCTTCGAACCGCAAGCCTCCCAAAGCCTCGATCCCCGACCCTCGCTCCCCGATCTCCGCGCGAGCCTCGGCCCTCGGTGCTCGAGCCCTCGATCCCCGCTCCGTGCCCACGAGCCTTGATGTCGTACCACTCCTTCTTCAGGAACGGGTCGCCCGCCTTCTTCTTGCCACCCTTCCTGCCTCCTTTGGTGAGGCGCTTATTCTTGCCGACCGCCATGCCTGCCGCCCGCCGCCGCCGCGCGGATCCGCAGCTCGTCACTAGCTTCGAGCCCGAGCCAGGAAGACCACGCAGAGAGCCAGCAAGCGCAGAGGCGAGCAGCAGCCGCTCTGCGGTCGGTCAGGAGTGTGCGAGTCCCACCAGCCCTTTAGGGCGCGAGTGGTTTCGCGAGTTTCCTCCTCCAGCTTCCCTCTTCCCCTTACGGGAAGGGGTTATCACTGTTCCCTATCAATATGCACACCCTCCCCCAGGCGACAGGCCAACCAGGAACAATGAGGACCCCATGAGGACCCCCCCCCCATCCCTGCCAAAAAAGAATGCACAACGCACTCTGCCTCCACATTCGGAGCCTGCGCAACCAACCCGATACGGCCACCCCCAAACCTTGGAGCAAAATCCTTGAGTCATGCTCGTGAGGCCCGCGAGCACTTTGTGTTCAATTTTGACAGGGACGGCGGGGGTGTCAGCATATTGCCTGCTGTGCGCAGGGCCACCATCCTTCACGAAAAGCAATACAAAATGCACCTCGAGGATAAATCTGGATCATGAGCAGCCACCACGCGATCATTGTGAAGTGGTTTTGGCAGGGACGGCGGGGGTGGTGGCGTATGGCCTGCCGTGCGCAGGCCCACCAGACACAATGATGGGCACTGGTTTTCGACAAGGATGGTTGGGACCGATCTGTTTCCCGATGTGTGCTGCCACGTGCGCAGGCGCACCTGACACAGTCTGCACGTGCCCCGAACGTGGCGCACCTGGCGCGGCTGGAGTATGCGGCACACCTGGCGCACGTGGAGCACGTGGCGCATCTGGCGCACCAGACGTGCCTGGCACGCTCGGGCCCCGGCGTCGCGCGCATGGGTTCGGTTTTGGTTCCCAGTAGCCGCCCATCCAAAGACGAGCATGTTGTATTGTTTTTTGACAGGCGTGGCGGGGGTGTCAGCATGTTGCCTGCTGCGCGCAGGGCTACCATCCCTGACAAAACATAATTCACAATGCACCTCGCGGCTAAATCTGTATCATCCGCGGCCACCCCGCGATCACTGTCAAGTGCAAGTGGTGGCGTATGGCCTGCTGTGCGCAGTCCTACTAGACACAATGATGGGCATTGGTTTTCGACATGGATGGTTGGGACCGATCTGTTTCCCGATGAGTGCTGTCACGTGCGCAGGCGCACCTGATACACTCTGCACGTGCCCCGAACGTGGCGCACCTGGCGCGGCTGGTGTGCGGCACACCTGGCGCACGCGGAGGCACGTGGCGCATCTGGCGCACCAGGCGTGCCTGGCACGCTCGGGCCCCGGCGTCGCGCACATGGGGTTGGCTTTGGTTTCCAGTAGCCGCCCATCCAAAGACGAGCATGTTGTATTGTTTTTTGACAGGCGTGGCGGGGGTGTCAGCATGTTGCCTGCTGCGCGCAGGGCTACCATCCCTGACGAAACATAATTCACAATGCACCTCGCGGTAAATCTGTATCATCCGCGGCCACCCTGCGATCACTGTCAAGTGGTGGCGTATGGCCTGCTGTGCGCAGACCTACTAGACACAATGATGGGCATTGGTTTTCGACATGGATGGTTGGGACCGATCTGTTTCCCGATGTGTGCTGTCACGTGCGCAGGCGCACCTGACACACTCTGCATGTGCCCCGAACGTGGCGCACCTGGCGCGGCTGAAGTATGCGGCACACCTGGCGCACGTGGAGCACGTGGCGCATCTGGCGCACCAAACGTGCCTGGCACGCTCGGGCCCCGGCGTCGCGCACATGGGGTTGGTTTTGGTTCCCAGTAGCCGCCCATCCAAAGACGAGCATGTTGTATTGTTGTTTGACAGGCGTGGCGGGGTGTCAGCATATTGCCTGCTGCGCGCAGGGCTACATCCCTGACAAAACATAATTCACAATGCTCCTCGCGTCTAAATCTGTATTACCCGCGGCCACCCTGCGATCACTGTCAAGTGGTGGCGTATGGCCTGCTGTGGAGCAGACCTACTAGACACAATGGTGGGCATTGGTTTTCGACATGGATGGTTGGGACCGATCTGTTTCCCGATGTGTGCTGTCACGTGCGCAGGCGCACCTGACACACTCTGCACGTGCCCCGAACGTGGCGCACCTGGCGCGGCTGGAGTGTGCGGCACACCTGGCGCACATGGAGCACGTGGCGCATCTGGCGCACCAGACGTGCCTGGCTCTCTCGGGCCCCGGCGTCGCGCACATGGGGTTGGTTTTGGTTTCCAGTAGCCGCCCATCCAAAGACGAGCATGTTGTATTGTTTTTTTGACAGGGGTGGCGGGGGTGTCAGCATATTGCCTGCTGCGCGCAGGGCTACCATCCCTGACAAAACATAATTCACAATGCACCTCGCGGCTAAATCTGTATCATCCGCGGCCACCCCGCGATCACTGTCAAGTGGTGGCGTATGGCCTGCTGTGCGCAGACCTACTAGACACAATGATGGGCATTGGTTTTCGACATGGATGGTTGGGACCGATCTGTTTCCCGATGTGTGCTGTCACGTGCGCAGGCGCACCTGACACACTCTGCACGTGCCCCGAATGTGGCGCACCTGGCGCGACTGGAGTATGCGGCACGCCTGGCGCACGTGGAGCACGTGGCGCAGCTGGCGCACCAGACGTGCCTGGCACGCTCGGGCCCCAGCGTCGCGCACATGGGGTTGGTTTTGGCTCCCAGTAGCCGCCCATCCAAAGACGAGCATGTTGCATTGTTTTTGACAGGCGTGGCGGGGTGTCAGCATGTTGCCTGCTGCGCGCAGGGCTACCATCCCTGACAAAACATAAGTCACAATGCACCTCGCGGCTAAATCTGGATCATGCGCGGGCCACCCCGCGATCACTGCCAAGTGGTGGCGTATGGCCTGCTGTGCGCAGACCTACTAGACACAATGATGGGCATTGGTTTTCGACATGGATGGTTGGGACCGATCTGTTTCCCGATGTGTGCTGTCACGTGCGCAGGCGCACCTGACACACTCTGCACGTGCCCCGAACGTGGCGCACCTGGCGCGGCTGGAGTGTGCGGCACACCTGGCGCACATGGAGCACGTGGCGCATCTGGCGCACCAGGCGTGCCTGGCACGCTCGGGCCCCAAGGGCGCTTGGCGCGCGCGACGAGCCTGGCACGCGTGGCGCACATTGTCCCAGCGTCACGCGCATGGGTTCGGTTCTGGTTTCCAGTAACTGCCCATCCAAAGACGACCGCTGAACATGCTGAAGCTCGGGTGTTACTTATGTGTTTGGAGGGCGGGCGGGAGTGAGCTAGACGGCTTGCTATCTAAGAGGGTGTCTCGATCACTGTTCCTTATTAATCTACACCCCCTCCCCCAGGTGACTGGCAGCCAACCAGGAACAATGATAACCCCATGAGGACCACCATCCCACCATCCCTGTCACAAAACACAACAAAATACACGTTGGGGCAAAACCCAAAGTCATGTTCGTGAGGCCCGCGAGCACGTCGTATTGTCTTTTGACAGGTGTGGCAGGGGTGTCAGCATTTTGCCTGCTGCGCGCAGGGCTACCATCCCTGACAAAACATAATTCACAATGCACCTCGCGGCTAAATCTGGATCATGCGCGGCCACCCCGCGATCACTGCCAAGTGGTGGCGTATGGCCTGCTGTGCGCAGACCTACTAGACACAATGATGGGCATTGGTTTTCGACATGGATGGTTGGGACCGATCTGTTTCCCGATGAGTGCTGTCACGTGCGCAGGCGCACCTGACACACTCTGCATGTGCCCCGAACGTGGCGCACCTGGCGCGGCTGGAGTATGCGGCACACCTGGCGCACGTGGAGCACGTGGCGCATCTGGCGCACCAAACGTGCCTGGCACGCTCGGGCCCCGGCGTCGCGCACATGGGGTTGGTTTTGGTTCCCAGTAGCCGCCCATCCAAAGACGAGCATGTTGTATTGTTTTTTGACAGGCGTGGCGGGGGTGTCAGCATATTGCCTGCTGCGCGCAGGGCTACCATCCCTGACAAAACATAATTCACAATGCACCTCGCGGCTAAATCTGGATCATGCGCGGCCACCCCGCGATCACTGCCAAGTGGTGGCGTATGGCCTGCTGTGCGCAGACCTACTAGACACAATGATGGGCATTGGTTTTCGACATGGATGGTTGGGACCGATCTGTTTCCCGATGTGTGCTGTCACGTGCGTGCGCAGGCGCACCTGACACACTCTGCACGTGCCCCGAATGTGGCGCACCTGGCGCGACTGGAGTATGCGGCACACCTGGCGCACGTGGAGCACGTGGCGCAGCTGGCGCACCAGACGTGCCTGGCACGCTCGGGCCCCGGCGTCGCGCACATGGGGTTGGTTTTGGTTCCCAGTAGCCGCCCATCCAAAGACGAGCATGTTGCATTGTTTTTGACAGGCGTGGCGGGGTGTCAGCATATTGCCTGCTGCGCGCAGGGCTACCATCCCTGACAAAACATAATTCACAATGCACCTCGCGGCTAAATCTGGATCATGCGCGGCCACCCCGCGATCACTGCCAAGTGGTGGCGTATGGCCTGCTGTGCGCAGACCTACTAGACACAATGATGGGCATTGGTTTTCGACATGGATGGTTGGGACCGATCTGTTTCCCGATGTGTGCTGTCACGTGCGCAGGCGCACCTGACACTCTGCACGTGCCCCGAACGTGGCGCACCTGGCGCGGCTGGAGTATGCGGCACACCTGGCGCACATGGAGCACGTGGCGCATCTGGCGCACCAGGCGTGCCTGGCACGCTCGGGCCCCAAGGGCGCTTGGCGCGCGCGACGAGCCTGGCACGCGTGGCGCACCTTGTCCCAGCGTCACGCGCATGGGTTCGGTTCTGGGTTCCAGTAACTGCCCATCCAAAGACGACCGCTGAACATGCTGAAGCTCGGGTGTTACCTATGTGTTTGGAGGGCGGGCGGGAGTGAGCTAGACGGCTTGCTATCTAAGAGGGTGTCTCGATCACTGTTCCTTATTAATCTACACCCCCTCCCCCAGGTGACTGGCAGCCAACCAGGAACAATGATAACCCCATGAGGACCACCATCCCACCATCCCTGTCACAAAACACAACAAAATACACGTTGGGGCAAAGCCCAAAGTCATGTTCGTGAGGCCCGCGAGCACGTTGTATTGTCTTTTGACAGGTATGGCAGGGGTGTCAGCATATTGCCTGCTGCGCGCAGGGCTACCATCCCTGACAAAACATAATTCACAATGCACCTCGCGGCTAAATCTGGATCATGCGCGGCCACCCCGCGATCACTGCCAAGTGGTGGCGTATGGCCTGCTGTGCACAGGCCCACGAGACTCAACGATGGGCACTGGTCTTCGACATAAATAATGGGGCCGACACGTTTCCCGATGTGTGCTGCCGCGTGCGCAGGTGCACCCGATACACTCTGCACGTGCCCCGAGCGTGTCGCACCTGGCGCGGCTGGAGTGTGCGGCACACCTGGCGCACGCGGAGGCACGTGGCGCATCTGGCGCACCAGGCGTGCCTGGCACGCTCGGGCCCCAAGGGTGCCTGGCGCGCGTGGCGCGCCTGGCACGCGTGGCGCACCTCGCCCCAGCGTCGCGCGCATGGGTTCGGTTTTGGTTACCAGTAACTGCCCATCCAAAGACGACCGCTGAACATGCTGAGGCTCGAGTGTTACTTATGTGTTGAGAGGGCGGGTGGGAGTGAGCTAGACGGCTTGCTATCTAGGAGGGTGTCTTGACCCCTCCCCCTACCCCTGGACCTGGACGGGAGGTTTCGCGAGGGGTTGAAGAGTCCAAGATTTCCTCAGCGAAGAAGCCAAACTCAGTGATTTTACAAAAACGTTTTGGCCACACTTTGGCCTCCGGGGCAGGGGGGGGCTAATCTACTACGGCCCCGCCTTTGATCGCTGCTCTCCTCCAAGACGGCCCCGAGGCCCCCAAGAGGCAAGATATCCCAAAGAGGCCCCCAATAGACCCCCGAGAGGCCCCAAGAGGCCCCCCAGAGGCACCCAAGACGCCCTAAGAGGCCTCGGCGAGAAGGCCAACATCACTGATGTTATCAAGGCTTTGGCCACACGTTGGCCTCCTGGGCAGGGGGGGCTAATCTACTACGGCGCCTCCTTTGATCGATCTCCTCCAAGATGGCCCCCAAGATGGGCCCCGAGGCTCCCAAGAGTGCACCAAGAGGGCCCCCCAGAGGTGCCCAGGAGGCCCCAAGAGGACCCCAAGAGGCCACCAAGAGGCCCTCCAAGAGGCCCCTGAGAGACTCTCAAGAGAACCCCAAGAGGCCCAACGAGGCTCCCCCGAGGCGCCGAAGACGCTTCGAAAGGCCCCCGGGACTGCCACGAGGCCCCAAAAGGCCTACAAGAAACTCTCAAGAGACGCCCGCAGAAACTCCGAGAGGCATCCGAGAGGCCTCTGGCATTCCTGCTCGCCCTCCTCCTCCTCCTCCTCCTCCTCTTCCTCCTCCTCCGTTTCCTCTTCCGCTTTATCCTCATCCTCCCTCCCCCCTCCTCCCTCCTCCCTCCTCCCCCTCCCCCTCCTCCTCCTCCCCTCCTCCTATGTTTCCTCCATCATCCCCTCCTCCGATAGTTCCTCCTCATATGGCTTCCAAGCCTTTGTTCCACTACGTACTCCCTCACATGCCTGATCAGAGCAACTCGCCTGGGCATCGTTTCTGGATGGGCTGGTGGGGTTACGCGAAGCGTTTAGAATGTACTGCGCCCCCCTTTTATACGCTTGTGTAAACGCATCAGCTTCCAAAAACATGTCTTTCATATGTTTCTTTCAATCGGGATGTGTCTGGTGCTTCAACGTGCTCCTGCTGCAGCGCTGGTTTCGGTTTAGGATCGACGCTTTGCTCCCGTCGTTCAAATTAGCGCTCTCGCCCCAGCACGGGCCACAATTCTGGATCCGAGTCCTTCATCGTCGTTGTCGCCCCGCTCCTTTCCCCTCCTCCGCCTTCCACTGGTCCCCCTGCTCCTTCTGCTTCTCCTACTCTTGCTCCTGCTGCTGTTCACCCTCGTCGTCCCCCTCCTTCCTCAGTATCATCTCTCCCCCCTGCTCATACTCTTGCTCATCCGCCACCTCCTCCTCCTCCTCCTCCTCCTCCTCCTCCTCCTCCTTCAGCATCAACAGCACTCCCTGTCGCGCAACACGATGAGGTCCTTTTGAAGGTTCCAGGTCCGCTCTGACACCCGTCGGCAGATTGAGAAAAATCAGCGCAGTGGGAAGGGATTAGTGGGAGAGGCAAATTTGGCGTCAGATATGGCGCGACCGCAGCCAGCATGGCCTTCGCCGTCCCCCCCTCCACTGGCTCTCCCCGTCTCCTCCATCCCCCCCCTTCCACCCCGCCCCCCCCTCTCTCAGGGCCGTCTTGGGAAAGGTCCGTGGGGCGTTTTCGTGAGGATGCCCACGACACCGCCGGTCTGGGATTCTTCTGGCGGGGCCATTGGATTCGCCAGCAAAGATGCAGGAAGCGCAGATGTTGGCCCCACTTCCTCGCGCGACCTGGGTCAGGATGACGTGAGTTCACAAGACAGAAGCCAAGGCCGGGCTAACAGCGATGTTGCTTAACAGTGATGTTGAGCGCCAGATTGCCCGAAATCACGAGCTACGCTTTCCTAGATTTCCATGTTGCGCATGCATCGAGCGAAAACGCCACAGCGAATTGTCAAGCCCGAGACACGCGCTCCCACAGCACCGAAGCCTGCATCGCCGGTACCTACATCGCCGTTAGCCCGTCCACGGAGGCTCCCTCAAGAGATGAAGCTCTTACGCCGTCGGGGACGCCAGTCCCGGGACTGACTACCTAGCAGGCCACCCCAACCCAACACGAAGACCCGAATTTCGGGTTGGGGGGGGGGTACGGGCTCCATATGTGTTTTCTCGATGTTCCCCGACCCCCCCCCCACTGGAAATGGAGGTCAATTTGAGGCCTTCGGGTTGGGTTGGGGTGGTCTGGTGGGTGGCGAGGGACGCCCGGAGAAGTCCACGCCGCCGCGTGCCGCCGTGGGGGGGTCAAGCTCCCAGCCGCCCTGGGACAGGCGTCCCCGATGGCGGAAAAACGCGTGTCACACCGGCCTGCCTCCGCTCAGAGAGAGAAGGATGTGCCCAACTCCGACCAGACACCAAAAGACCCCCTACATATGGGCGCCCCGCTTTTGCCTCCGCCGCCTTCCGCCGGCTCGAGGAGGGAGGACGAGGCCTCCTCCTCCTCCTCCTCCTCCTCCTCCTCCTCCTCCTCCTCCTCCTCCTCCTCCTCCTCCTCCTCCCCCTCCTCCTCCTCCTCCTCCTCCTCCTCCTCCTCCTCCTCCTCCTCCTCCTCCTCCTCCTCCCTCTCCTCCTCCTCTCCTCCTCCTCCTCCTCCTCCTCCTCCTCCTCCTCCACCTCCTCCTCCTCCTCCTCCCCCTTCCTCCTCCCTCCCCCACTCCTCCTCCGCCTTCTCCGCCTCCTCCTCCTCCTCGTCCTCCTCGTCCTCCCTCCTCCTCCTGGAGGAGGCGGGAGGAGACGGAGGAGGA